TTTCTTCGCCGGACGCCGCCGGAAAATAGAAAAATAAAATTTTAATTTTTGCCTAATTTTGTGTCCCCCCTAAATTCAATTCCAATCCCCACCTTTTAATTGCTTGAGGGGTTTTTTCCCATCCGCTCGTCCCCCCCAAATGTACCCCCCCCCCCCCAGCCCCCCCCCCCCCCCCCACAAAAAAAAAAAACTGACCGTACCCTCAAGGAGAGAAGAAGCTGAATGAAGGAGATCTCCCTTCTAGTTCTTATGATCAACTTCACCTCCCAAAACCTCAAAATTTCACCTACCCCCGCTACCCACTCCCAAGTCAAAGGCCTGGCTATGTACTATAAAGAAAATACCGAAATAAACAATTTGCTACATTGCACTTTTGATTGATAAGACTTAAAAAAAGGCTAAGTTGCAAATAAAACCTTCATAAGCTGTTGGAAACGCACCGATTTGCCTTTAAAAATCAAAGCGTTGAAAACTTCCTGAAGGGGGAGATTGAGTATTAAAAGAGTTGTGTTTTGATAAGCCTGATCATGATATGCTACATTAATAAGCACATGAGCTTCGAGAGTGAGGGTCAAGATCGTACCAAATGCAAAGTAAACCATCAGTCCATTACCACAAGCACCTCTAAAACTGTTTAAAAAGACATATAATATAGTTCTTTCTGTTTTATCCATCTATAATCGCTACTAACCTTGCAAAGTAGTTGAAAAACGGGAGAAAAACAACTATGCCTACCCTTCCGCGCGCCATCTTTGATTGAGCGTTAGTTCCCAGTGTCCCAAAACGTCCACAATGCGCGGCCTCCTAGGGCCCTGGTGGGTGCATGTGTTTGCTGCTAAAAAGTAGATTTTCTAACTTTTTAGCGACTTCGTAGCTCACATTTGAAAAAAGGTCCATTAATTAATGGGGATAAACCTATAGCGGGGCTGGTTTGACAGAATAGGCTGAAATACATGGACTTTAATAACAGAAAAGGCAGGAAATGGTGAGCGCTTGTTCGCTCTGATGTTTTTCTTTACTTTTTTTCTGGATTTAGTTAGATTTGCGAATTAAAGGCGTCAATGAAGAAAAAAAACCTTTATTTTTTTGTCTTCTTGACTTGGCATCTTATTGTTGTAGATGCCGCTGTTAAACTAGTGATTGACAGAGCAGAGATTAATACTTTACAACCGTCAAAACTTTATATACCTACAGGTAGCCCAAGCTTGAAATATAAGCATCGTCGAACATCGACATTGTTGCATAGCATTCGAACTATAAGGATTTGTGTGGAAAAAAAAACTATCGTTTCCGTAACCTACGAAAATCAAAGGATTTCAATAAAAAACAGCTTACCTTACATAAAATGTGTGTTACGTCTCTCCTGTGTGGTCCATGGGCCGATTTATGGCCGTTTTATGGGTTGTACTGTAAACGGTTTTCTCTCTTTACTAGAGATTTATATAGCCATAGCGGCACGCGTGCGTTCATACCAATAGGAAAGTATTTACATTCTCTGTCACTGCCAACACGTTTAGCTCAGCCAAACGTAAACACATTTCTTATTTATATTCACGACTAAGAGAAGGGAATGGGTGTGCAGCTCGAACTGTGGGGCAGCTGAGAAAACAAAGAACGGGAAACAATTACAGACCAAGAGACAGAGAAATTGCTAATCGGTTTTCTAACGAGTCTTCAACGTAGCCATCCTTAGCGTTTTCCGAACGCCATCTACTATGGCGCCTAAACGTTCTATCGGAGATACCACCATTAGCGGCGGCAGATGCACCTGGCCACTTCTAAAGCTGTGCCAAGAGAAAGACTTAGGATCTAAGCCTACGTCTGCAATCTTCTTCAATAAAACTTCTTTACATCTTGAATACGACAATTTGGAGCCTGGGCAGATGGACTGAGGGCTATACTTGGTTTGAATATTTCCAAACAAATAGTCGTCTCCACCTTGGGAAGATGTCCGCGGTAGGGTGAGTTTGGCTTGCGATAAGTACTTCTCTATTGAAAGGGCCTGTTTACCTGGAGTTGGGGGACCCCAGATATGTGAGGTAACCCGCTTAGGTGGGGTAACCCGCCTGTCCATATAATGTCTCATTTTAATGTGATCACGTGGGGTGACCAGCCACATGATACCTCGCCTGAGGTCCCCAACCTTCATGTTAACAGGCCCTCAATTACCCCAGGGGCAAAGATCCATGCCAGACTTGACAATGGGGGCAATGGCGACATCGCGATAATGATCAGTTTTAATGCTTTCAATTGAAAAAGTTCAAAATAAGTGTCATGCAGAGCTATATCTTTAAGCTTTAGATCAGCCAATTCTTCAAATCTTAAGAACCCCAAAAAGGCCAGTAACGCCATGGCCATGAATTTCGTGTCCACCAAAGATCCATCGAGACTTTGAAAAAACGTTTGTAAAATTTCATGTGTAAAGGTAATTTCCACTGACTCGTTTTTGGCTACGCACGTTAACTTACGTAAATTTTAATCACGTAAATAAAATAGAGGCAAGATAAAAAGTGCTGGGCTGAAACGAGAAGTTGAGCGAGGCTCAACTTTTTTGTTTTTACGCTTACTAGCGACCTTTCATGCATTGCCTCTATCTTATTTGAGAACGTAAATTTTACGCGCGTGCGCCCGTAAAAATTAGCCGACACTGGAAATCAACCCTAATGGAGAGCTTTTTGGAGGTGAGGTGTAATAGCCTTCTCTTTACGGAAATCCACGACCTTCTTGGGAAGTGTATGATTGGTAGGAGAGTCCAAACCAGCCAATATCATGAGCTAAGCGGATGCTATAGAGAAGGTGTTCTGGACCCGCGCAGGAGAACTAGAAGCCTGGCCAAAACGCGCGTGAAATTATTCCCTAATTTCACTAGTATACCATTTGATTACCTATTAATATCATGCAGGGTACGGCCGGTGAAGCATTACGTTAGGAAACAGCTCCCGCAAACGATTTTGGAAGAACATTTCTCAATTCCGAAAAATACTGCTGCAAGTAAAATAGGTAATGGCGTCATTTCGTTACTATAACAACTCCGATGTCATTGCAACCCTGATCGTAACGAATTTTCATTTTTGTCTAATACAACTGTGGTGGCAGCTTTTCCAATCTTTGTTTATGGCGACGTAGTTTATAATTATGCTCAAACTTGGGAAGTAATGACCCTGAAAAACTGTATAGAGCCACCTTAATACGGACACCCCGTTAAAGAGAGGAGAAGTGTGAC